AAGATCTACCATAACAACTTGTATGTTTCAATCTATTCAGTCATACTATTTTGTTGTTTAATGCAACACATATGTAAACATAAAAGCATGTTAGAAAAATTTGTTCTACAAAATATTTCAGATGAAACGCAAAAAAGGAACAACATTGAATCTTCATAAAACGATAATTCCTTATTTTGCTAACTAAATCATATTTGAAATTGTACTAATGTGTCATTTAATAACTAAACTAAGCACTTTAACATACCTCAATTCTTCATCTCTCTTACGTTTCTCTTGTTAATTAACAATGTATATCACAAATCTATATTAGCCCATATATTACATCACTCTTCACTACAAGAGAAGTATTATTCGACACAGATTTTATACAAATGAATGATACTTTATCTACAACTATGAATAAAATGAATTATTCTAGTTGAGTGTGATGAAGTCTGAAATGTAAATAATCTATATATTATTACCTCTTTCACATATTTGCGTTGCTAAGAATGGTAAACATACTGGTTGTAATGAACAACATGAATTAATAACACATATAGAATTATTTGATGAACATGTTTGTGTAATATTATCACATCTTTCTAATATTAAACATAAAATAGCAGGTGCACAATAACTAATATTATTTATTGTTCGATAATCAAAACAAGGTGTTGATGATGAAAGACAATTATTGTTACCATTCAAGCTTGTATTACATTGTTGTAAAGAACAATTTGATGTTGGATTCGAAGCTGAATGAGATGATGAAGATAATATAAACTGAATCGAAACATTATTTTCACTACAAGAATAATTAGGTAGTTGTATAGTTTGACCTATAGAATTCATTTATATTGTGATGAAGTGAAATGAAAAAAGATAATGTAACAAACCTTTTACAGATGAAAGTGATATAATGAAAAACAAGGCAATGACAAACCGCATTATTTTTTGTGTGATCACTGAAAAAAGAAAATAGACAGTAATGAATGATTTTTCTTTACTATTTTTTCTCATTAGTTCCCACATTTCTTTTTTTAGTTAAAAGAGCATGAACTGTTTTTCTCAACACTTGTTTGTGTTCTTGTAATCAGAAATACATTTTTTTTTGATTTATTCATTCAAATTTATTCAAATGTTGATTTTCTATGTCTGTCATTTTCATTTCATTAAAGACTCTCCGCTTCTCTTGTTTCATAGTAACTAAAATCATGACGTTTTTTCATTCGATACATAAAGTACCTGATCAGTTATATGAAACTGTTTTATTGGCAAAAGTAAAATAAAACATCACTTGAACAGATTCATGTTTATTTGTTAATTTCTCTATAAGAATTCATTCATTACGCACAACTCTTTGAAGGTAAATAAGAGATTCGATTATTTTTTTAATACTCTTTTAATTACTTTAAATCCTTATTTTTCATGTAAGTGTTAGTTTTTGAAAACCATTTTTCTTGCCTAGAGTAAAAAATATCTTGAATAAAATTATAAAATATGAAATTAATTTAGCTAATGTTAGTAATTGAAGATTCTAGAAAAGGAATTTGTTGATTGTTTATTTTTAGATTTATTGACATAGAAAAATAAAGAATAGTTTTTTTATCTTTATATTTGGAAAGTAAAATCTGAAAAAGACAACATAAATAACAAAGAAAGATATATAAATAATTTATTGAAAAAGAGAGATGATTATTTGTTCTAGATGCTGTTTAAAATGTTTTCATCATAAAAAAATAAGTGATGAATGGAATATATGATCTTGTTCATACCAATTATGACACTTGAAGATTATATTTCGATCAAACATATGATAAAACAAAAGAATATAATTTTGTATGTGCCATATGTATATGAAATAGAATACTATTTGAATAATTAACTAGTGGAGTTAAATCTCTTGAATAAGTTTCATTTTGTCTGCACCATTGTAATAATTGTCGAATTCCATTTTGATGTAATGTTTTACATTCATCAAATGTATATCCTTCAGTTGAATTTTTTGTTAAACCATCTTCAAATTGAATAGCAAAAAAAACTGCTGTTGATGTATCAGTACTGATATACATTTGTAATTGTTGATTTCTATTCTTATTGTTAGGTAATGAGAAAACTTTGGAAATAAACCAACCATAACCTGTCGGATTTGTTTAAAATGTTGAAAGAGAAACATAAATTGACTTAAACATGCCCCACCACCAGCATGTGTTGTTTGTAAACCCCAATCAATATGATACATCGATAGTGAAAGTGTACCAACATCAGATCGAATAAAATCAGGATCCATCAAACCAGTTGATGGTGGAAAAAACAAATTCAGCATCACGATCACTTCCAGTACCATTAACCAATCCCACGTGAAATAAATGAATCTCTTGTTAGAAAAGTGAAACGATCATGCGCAATACGACTAAGAGCTAATCGAATGTCCATAACTCCATCATTTTGAGCTGCACGTGGAACTGGTGCACCAGAATTTGTTTCTGTCCAATGAAGATAACCAGATAGAAAAAGAAAATAAAGCAGCTGGATTATAATTATCAAAACATTGAATTAGATCTGATGTACCGAGAGGAAATGCTCCAACAGATTTTGACCATGGACCATATACACTTTCATTAGATAAAGTAACAACAACTTTTTTATAACTAGGCAAAGCACCAAGACAATAAACACTTGTATTTGATACAGCAGAATTTAATCGACCTTATAAAATATATTAACCACCATTATTTGGAGAATATAATATAACTGTTTGTGTATCAGATAAGCCAGCTGTTGAATACCTTTTGTCTAAATAAATCCATCAGGTGATGTACCAATATATACATAAGGTTTAGACGTCTGAACGAGATATTCCTGAGCGTTGATCAAGAAAAACAGAACCAAAAATTTTATTGATAGCAGTCATAAATACAATATTAGTTAGATGAGGTGGTTCGCTCCCATTTCCTCTATAAGGGTAATATGATAATAACGATTTTTTTCCAATGAATTTCATCAGTACTATTAGAAATAATCAGCTGGAACTTGTAAAGAACTTGTATAGAAATGAATTGTATTTTCTCATGGATATTCAGGATAAATTAATGGATGATCAAGATCTTTTTCGATTTTACCATTTTGAAATTCTAATCAAGATGAATTTTTAATGTATTGATTATCAACCCATAAATGTACTCCAATATTTAATCAAAAAATTTCAGATGATTTTATAAAATTAATTGCAATTAATAAATTAAATATTCTTCATATGTAAAATGCACACAACATAAAATTACAATAGAAAAAAAGTTTTTGCTGCTGAAGATATTATAGAAGATATTATGTTTCGATTTACTATTAAACTATTTCGTTCTATAATCGTAAATATATCTTAATGAATTTTCTTCGAATAAAAAGATTATGTGTGTTATAGACGACATCTATGTTTTATTTCTTTATAGACATGTATATCTTCTTCTTGAGGGTGTGGGTGGTTGGGTGTGGTTCGATAAAAGGATGAAGTATATACACTCATACTTACACCCTCAAGATAATTTTTTCTGGAACTCCTGCGAAGTCGTATGAGATTATATGGAATTTTAGCAGTGATCTGTTATGATTATTATACGTATTGGTATCAGTTTAAGACCATTATATGATCAGACCTACAGTTTACTAATTGTTATATAAATCATCTTTGGAATTGATACAAACATTTCATTGCAATAAACATTTTTTCAGGAGCATATCTTACTCTTATAGTTTACATTTGCTTGTTTATTGTTCCGAAAAAAAGCAATTTATTCAGCACCATTTCACAAATATATTAATTTTATGTCTATATATTAAGCATTACAACCAAACAACAATTTTAGATTCAAAACTTCACTAATTTTTGTATTGATCGACGCATCAGCACATCGCCGTACGAAATCAAGAGCGAACAAAAACACAATTCACAACTGCTTCTACTGGCTACGTATCAGCGACAAACTGCAGTAAGCAATATGCACTCACATCAGTCTTTCTTGAAATTTTCTTTTTTTTATGCCTATTAGATCACGAAAAAGTAATACGCTACTGTGAAGATTTCATCATCAATGCTTATCAGTTACTGAAATATTTGATCAAGCGATGCATCCTTATTATTACTTACGAGGGAAGTACCCGAAGTGATAAACAGCTTTTAAGCTGATAT